ATTGCTACAGTTTCTTCCCAGCTAGACTACCCAGGCCCTCAGGGTTGGGGAGAGTGTGGTAAAAGATGATCCATGTGAATGTGCCATGTGGGATGGGCTTCGCTGGGAGTTCACATTGTTAGATCGGAATAGCTGTGTCAAGAGGCTTATCCCCACTGTCCTGGGAACCTCACTAATGTTACAATGGTCTAATCCAGTGGTCGGCAAACTCATTAGTCAACAGAGCCAAATATCAACAGTACAACAATTAAACTTCTTCTAACCCATTTCTTCAAAATAAACTTGCCCAGGCCATGGTATTTTGTGGAAGAACCACATTCAAGGGGCCAAAGAGCTGCATATGGCTGGAGAGCCGCAGTTTGCTGACCAGGGGTCTAATCTCACCAGAGGTAAAATGCCCAGAACAGGGCTGTGTGAAACTTTCATGACTTTGTGAGATACCAAGGAGATTTCAGCTCTAATCCTGCTTATCTACCTAATGGCAGAGAAGGTGGGAGACGAGGTGGAACAGGAGCCAAGTAATTCTAAATATCAGAATCTCCAGGTTTATTGACATTTAACTGAGTACAGTGAGTGATTTTTGCCCAAGGTCCACTCTCCTCTTTGGACTTTGTTAGAAATCTGGTTAAATTTCATGGATTTTTTCATGCCCCCTCTGGTGGTTTGGAAACACCATAAATATTTCCTAATTCTGAAGTCAGCATGAAAAATAGAAACAGCACTGTCTCTCCTACTTAGGCAAGTCTCCTTTCCTTTCTGTGTCTCCATTCTCTCTGCAAAACAAAGGTGGAGGATAAAATGTATCCCTCAAGTTCTTTCTGCTATCAGCATTCTACATGTCTATAATGTTTGCTTCTCTTTTTCCCACCTACATTTTCAGATCATAAGACATCCTGGCCACTTTCTTTTGTTAGACTTTTATTGAAAATGTATCTGCCTTCAAAGGCCAGATCTTGTAGCCTGGGCTGCTCTTTAAATGGCTCTGACCAGAGGATCCTTGTTTAAAATTACGTTTTGTTAATCCATCACAAGGATGTGGAACTTGCTATTTTTAATACATGCTCTGCACAGTCCAGTTATTCATGGCTGAGAGTTTGCCACAGACCTTGAGAGCTGTATTTAAAAGCAAATAGTTCCAGGGAAGCCAGAAGAAGGCTTCTGTCACAGGCTAATAAAATTTGGGAGCGGGAAGTAGAGGGGCAGTTCTATGGGACAGCAGTTTGGAAAAGCAGCATGCTTCTTGGTCTGTTTGATGTTACAGGAGCAAGTTTAATGCTCTTTTAGATAATAGACTCCATTGACTTTTCCTGAGTTATCTGTCAAAACTCGAGAAATATGCACTTTTATTGAAAGACCCAGATACTCTTTAATATTGTCTAATAATTATGCTCTCTCTCTCTCTCCACTTTTCCATTACCTTTCCTTCTCTTAGGCCATATAACATGCAGGTGCCCTGGGTGTATGTCTCTACACCAATTCATATCTTCCCTTGTATGTATTTTGGGTGCTGGGTTAGGTGCTGAGGACAGAGTGCAATATCTTGTCAGTGAAGATGTTTGGTTTGGTTTGCTGTGAGCAATTAAACAAAGGACTGTCACAGGGGAAAAAAGGCATGAAAACAGAAGCACTTAATTAAACTCACGCAGAGAAGCCTGTATTTATAACAACTCGTAAGTTATTGTTGGGAGACCATGGATAGCTTACATTGATATATTTAATTTTAGCAAATGTCACCTAAATGCTGGCTTCCTGGACTTTGAGAGATGATATTAATTTGTTCATTCATTTACTCAAGTATATTAATTAAGGTCATAAGATGGGCCAGAAACTCTATTAAGTGCAGTGTTTACAAAGGACAAGTGACACAACACTTGCCCTTGAAGAGCTCAAAGTCTAAGGGTCCAGAGGTTAAAAAATCTCCCAAGAGACCAATTCAGGAAGTTATGGTTCCTGTCTTATTTATTTTGTGTATTTAACAAGGGATATTTATAGCATCTTACAGAGTTCCATAAGAGCATATGACATGTATTTAGTTAACTATTCAGTATACTCTAAATATACAAGTTTCTGGAAGGTCAGTGAGTCATAGAATTCTGGTCTGGCTGATGGCAAATAGGACAGACAACGAAGAAGAACAGAGACTTACTCATTCAAAACATTTAAGACTTAGGACTAAGGCACAATCAGAACAATTCCTGCTAACTACCTATTTTCTCTCTACGAATATGAGTAGACACAGGGAGGAGCAATGCCTCATTCATGCTTTTGGAAATTAACAAAAAGTGTTTTGACATTTTTACCTGAATTATTTCAATTGTATTATGTAGGTGAGGGGTTGTTGCTTACATAGATGAACTAGGATCTTCTTAATTCATGGAAAGATTGTGCCTCAGCCAGTTTCTCACAGATGTATGGATCATGACAGAAGCAATGACAGATGGTAATGGATCAATTTTTGTTGAGGTTCCAACCACTTGCATAGCTTATATCACTGCCCAAGTAGTGGTAATACCCTCTCAGATGAAAAGCTATGGCAAATGCAGCAGACCTGCAAAAGCCAGAGGATTTTAGAAAGCTTCCTCATTAGTTCACTAGCATTTATCTGGGCACGTATCCTCCCTCTTTAATGTTGAGTGGGTGAGAAAGCTTATTTCAAAGAGAAGGATACCAAAAGTAAAATAAATTAATTAGTTATGCCTAAGTTCTTTACTCATTTGATTCAACAAACACCAATTTAGCCCTGGTGTAGGGCTAAATGCTGTGGGAAAACAGATTATAACAACTAGGGGCCCGGTGCACAAATTCGTGCACCTTAAAAGGAACTGTGGGCCGGGAGGTTGTTGTGGGCACATGGGTGGGTCTTGGCCCATCCTCCACACTCCTGCCCGGTCTCTCCCACCATGGCTCCCGGTCCCCTGCCCCCTGCCAGCAGCCCTGGTCCCACTGCCTCCTCTTCCACTCACTGATGACATGGAAAATTGGGGCAGGCGCCATCAGCAGGTGTGAACTGCAGCTACTGCCCAGATCATCCTTCAGGAGCAGGGGGAGGTGGAGAAGCTCTCAGGGGCGATGGGGGCTGGCACCCGGCAGAAGGTACTATTGGGGCCAGTCCCAGCAGTAGCAGATGTGAGCACCTGGCAGGACCTCGGTGCATGGGAGCAAAGAATTTTCAGTAACCACCAGAGGCTTGCCCTGATGACAGAGACTGGCATCCTGCATTGATATGGTGCCCCCCCGCTAATCTACTCCATCATCCTGCCACAGCTGATACCTGCATGTTCCATGCTCTGCCACCTGCTACTGATGCCTGCCATGTTTCCATGTGCGCCCCCTGGTGGTCAGCACACATCAGAGCAACCGGTTGTTATGCAGTTTGGTTTATTTGCATATTAGGGTTTTATATATATATATATATATATATATATATATATATATATATATATATATATATATAGTAGTTAACATTTAAGTATTTATTGTGTCAGGCATTGCACTAAGTATTTTACCCACTTTATCTCATGTAATTCTTAAAACAATTTATGAGACAAGAATGACTATTATTTCCATTTTATAGGAGAAGGCATAGCAGAAAACTGGACTAATTTCTTGTTGTAACAAAACAGTTTGTGTTCTTGGCCATGGGAACCCAGGCAAGAAAATAAACAAGGTACTCTCTAAGTCAGGGACTGTGGTAGAGAACAGATGGATATTGGGAAATTACCTTTGTTTCTAAGAACCAATAAGCCTCCTAAGTGTTTGAGTCAAAAACCTCACAAACACTAAAAGCCCCTGAGATCCTATTCCATCTAAAGGACTGACTTGGATGGAACCTGCCTTGTCAAATAAGTATAACTTATTTGCAAAAACTATGCCCTTTGGCTTATCCCTGTGCACCAGATCCTGGCACTCTGCCTGGCAAATAGTGGGTGCTCAAATTGTACTGTTGAAGGAGAGAGAATTTCACTTAGCCATTCAACATACATTGGCACCTGGAGCAATTCATCCCGATTCCCCTCCTCCGCACCCACATTCACTTCCCTAGCTTTATTCTGGAGCAAGTTTAATTTTATTCATTTATTATATGTTAAGTTGAATTAGCTGTTACCCAGGAAAGTTAATTACCTAGGGCAAAGGTAAAGGATACTTTAGTGGCTAATTAAGGTGTCTCTATAGGGGTGGTGTGGGCATTCTCATTTTTGAGTCACTTAACTCTATCTTATCTGGCAACCTATTCAGAAAAGGGCAGGAGACTGGTATCACCATCCTGAAGTCAGGTTCCTTCACCCTCTAAAGACACTGGGGTTCTCGAGATGGAAACTCTCCCATAGAGATGCACTCTCCCTGGACACAGCCCTTAAAAATCAGATTGAAGGAAGACTCCCTTCTCCTAGATTGCTCTTGGCAAGGCAAGTCCAGCCAGCTCCCCAAAGGGCGTGGAGGTAGAGAATCAATACATCCACACCGGGAACAGTCTAGCCTGCCTGATCACCCACAGATTGGCAAGTGGCACGGGCGCGTAGACCTCCTGTCATTTATGTCTCTTTCCGCTGGGTGCGCTGTCCCTTTAAACGGGGACGCCGGCGCTGGCTGCCTCACACGCGAGCCGGCAGCTTGTTGATTTCGGAGCCGGTGAATCTCACATTGTTTCCACTTCACTTTCCTCGCCCCGCGGGAGGGGATCGGCCGGCGCTCGGGCCGTGTTCGGTCGCTGCTGCCGGCGAGGAGGACCCGGGGAGGGCGAGGACCCGCCGGACCGGGGCCGGCGCGGGGGCAGGAGCGGGTGTCGGGGCCACGCGCGCTGCAGTCAGTCCCGCTGCCTCCGGGGCCGGGGCGCGGGGAGCGGAGCGCACGGAGCCGGGACCGCCCGCCGCGGCGCCCGCCCACGGCCCGGGCCGCGGCGGCCGGGGAGCCGGCGGCGAGGGGAGGAGGCCCAGGGGGCGGGGTGGGGGGCGGGGGTGGGTGCCGCCGCCGCCGCGGAGCTGCCGCTCGGCGCCTTTTGCATGAAGATGGCGGCTCCCACCGCCAGCAAGGCAGCCTCCCTGGGCTGCAACAACAAGCCGCCGGCGTTCCCGGAGCTGGATTTCAGGTCCGGCGCCCGGGTGGAGGAACTGAACAAACTCATCCAAGAATTCACCAAGCACGACCAGCGGGAATACGACGACCAGAGAGCGCTGGAGATCCACACAGCCAAGGATTTCATCTTTTCCATGCTGGGTACGGAGGCACAAGGGGGGAGGTGTGGATGCGTGTGCGCTGGCCTGCGGGGCAGGGAGGGCACCCTTTCCCCCGGGTCGCGCTCTCGTTCCTCCTGGGTTGCCTGCCCGGAGCCGGGCTCCCGGGCTGCAAACCCATCTCTGCTCCGCCTCTCCTCCTCGTCCTCCGCTGCAAGCAGAGCTGCCTCACCGCCTCACCTGACTCTACTTTGCACCGGGTGCCTTTCCCCTGCCCAGTTCACTGGCTCTTTTGTTAATGTCTCACCGGCCAGGACTGGTGGGCAGGTGAAGTGTCCATGGAGAAAGGGTATCGCCGGTGGGGGAAGCCCCTGGAAGCTGCGCGGTTCAGGTGGAGACGCGGCGGCACCTTGCAAGGAAGGGATTGGACTCAGGAGGAGGTTTGGACCTGCGCGCGCAGAGCCTTGGGTCAGCTCCCGAGCTTGGGGCACGAGGGTAGCTTGGGGCGTGGGGTTAGCTTGGGGCATGGGGGGGGGCGGGGGGCAGGAGCATGGGGGTAGCTTGGGGCATCGGGGCAGCTTGGGGCTCCGGCTCGGCGCGCGAGCCCACAAGTTGCTCCTCCGGTCCTGCGGCGGCGGGGCGCTGTCATGCCCAGCCCCGGGGCAGCCCAACTTGTTGGGTTGTTCCCTAGGAACCCGCCGAAGTAGGCTGGGCGCCCGGAGTTGTTGCAACTTGGACTTTGCCAAGCGACTGCCTGCCCTTTGAATCGGTCGGAAGCATTTCCGGTGCTTCCCTAGGGTTCTGGCGGAGCTGGGGATTGCTAATTCCCTCCCCCAGGGAGCCTCCGCCTGCCCCTCCTCTTTGTGTGCTGTCAGCGAGCTGGCCCTTAGAGGTGCCCTGAGATTCGAACCCGGGAGACATCTGGGAGGGGTGTGTGTGTGTGTGTGTGTGTGTGTGTGTGTGTGTGTGTGTGTGTGTTAGAAATATGCCGCCCGCTGCTACCCCTTCACCCGGCACCTACGGGTCCTTAAACTGCTTGTTGAATGGTGAATGGGAGCAAATAATAGAGCCTGGCCTGGGAGCCGGACCCCCTCCTCAGGTGTCCCGTGGTTGGGATTCTGGCTACTGATCTGTAGTAGGAGTGCCCCTGTAACCCGGGGCCCCACCAGCGCCGCCCCGGCCCGCACACAGTAGGTGGCCTGGCGGGTCAGGTCCGGCAGAACTGGGATCCCAAGTGCGGCGCTGCTCCAGCGCGTGTCTCTCTCTGTGCTCCCTGCACATACCTCCTCAGCCAGTTTTTCCAGGCAGTGGAAAATTGGATTGAAGAGGGAGACAGAGCTTTTGCCTTTCTCCTGCCATCTCCTTGCACTTCTGCCGGCTTCTCTGTTGCTGGCTCTGTCCTGGGGTACCTTTTTTCCTTCTCGGTATTCTTCCTCTCCACAGCCCAAGTTGGGGGAGTGGGAGGGGTAATACCCATGGAACCTGTGGACTCCAATAGTAGTGATGCGCTCAGAAGTTGGATCAAGCATGTTAAAACTTGGGGCTGCCTTTTACCTCTCGGTCCCCACTCCCCACGTTGTATCATATAGATCTTGTGCGGGGTTGAAAAAGCCCTCTGTTGACATATTCCACCATTTGGCTCTTTAGAGGAATATATATATATTTTTTTTTAAACCACACTCCTACATGTGGGAGTGAGCTTCCCGAGGGGAGCTTACAGAGCTACCGGGTCTGAAAACCAGCACCGTGATTGTCAGGAGGGTGGGGGACGCACAGAGTGGGTTCAGAGCAGTTATTTAAGTTGCTTAATGATGGTCTTTCTCTTGGACATAAATAATGCAAGTATTCCACTGTGTTGTTACAGCCCCTGAATTAGTTGTCTCCTGCCCTAGGTCTTTCACTAGAAAGAGATGCTGATCACTAGCAGTCAGGATAATCTTGAAACAGAAAAAAAAGAGAGAATGTTGGGAGGAGTAGGTTTAAAAGCCTAGCACCTTGGTCGGCAAACTGCGGCTCGCGAGCCACACGCGGCTCTTTGGCCCCTTGAGTGTGGCTCTTCCACAAAATACCACGGCCTGGGCGAGTCTGTTTTGAAGAAGTGGCGTTAGAAGAAGTTTAAGTTAAAAAAAAAAATTGGCTCTCCAAAGACATTTCAATCGTTGTGCTGTTGATATTTGGCTCTGTTGACTAATGAGTTTGCCGACCACTGGCCCCCTAGCGCATTAGGAACTTCGGTGTTAACCCCACAGCTGCTATACTGATTTAGCAAAGCCTTTACCTAGGGAGGTCTAATTCCTGGGAGCTTAATGGCATGAGTGGCATTGTGTTAACAGGTGAACTGAATTGTCTTCTGTTCCTTTTTCTTACCCACTTGACCTTGCAAAAGGCATCTTTCTTGTTCCCTAGGGATTTGATAGTTCCACCTGCAGGAGACAAAAATCAGGAGAGTGTGTCACATAAAACCTTTTTGCCCCTCTGGACACGAGAAGGCAGATGGCCAAATGAGCTTGCCTGTGTGTGGTGCTGCATTCATTTGTGAGTTCCTTGCTTCCCCTTAATGAGGTGCTGGCTGCTCCAGACCATGGAAGGTTTGGAGACAGCAAGGGTCCCTGTGTGGATTTACTTTTTTCTAAAGCGGATTTTCGCTTGGCTGGAAAACCAAAATCTCTTTTTGTGCACTTTGTTTCACTTGCCACCGCCTTGAGTCTTTCATGAATATGCGAATGAGGTGTCTTAATGACCCTCAGCTTATTAAGGTGCCACTGGGTGGCATCAGGCCTTTTTTTTTTTTTTTTTCTTTGAGATTTTTTTTTTGGGGGGGAGGGGTGAGTCCTCTTGGCTTTGTTCTGCCTTTGAGCTGTACCTGAGGATTGTCAGCAGCGTAAAGCTCACACGGAATGAAATGGCAGAACGAGCAAGCTTCTTTAAAGGAGCTGTGGATGAGCTTTCTCTGCTTCTTAGCAGTTGCAGTCACTCTTTTTTTTTTTTTTAATTTATTGATTTTTTACAGAGAGGAAGAGAGAGGGATAGAGAGTTAGAAACATCAATGAGAGAGAATCATAGATCAGCTGCCTATTGCACACCCGCTACTAGGGATGTGCCCGCAACCAAGGTACATGCCCTTGACCAGAATCAAACCTGGGACCTTTCAGTCCGCAGGCTGCTGTATCCACTGAGCAAACCGGTTTCGCTGCAGTCACTCTTGAGCCACTCTTAGGTATGATTGTTAGCTCCCCTAGCTTCCCAAGCTGTTCTTTCTTTTTCTTTTCCCTTTTTTCTTGTTTGGGGACAACTGTATGCAGAAGAGCAAAGTGGTGGTAGACTTTTGTCATAATCAGTGACCTTTCTGGAGCAGCAAACTCCACTGCCCTGTCCACCTGTCCAAGCATCGACTGTGGAGTTGATGTGAACCTGCTGGTGGTCACTGTTCTCCGTGGCCTGTCCCGACAGTCTCCGTTTGTACAGAGGTTCTGGTTCTTTTGGGGGCAGGTGTTACCCGGAATCAGCTAGACTCCTTATTGCTCTACACCTTGGTCTTTGAGGAGCGTGATTGCTGTTTTTATCTGGTTAACATCTGAGAGCCCAGATTGTGTGAGAGGCTGGCCATGCATAATACGCACCGTTTATCAAAATTCAGGGAAATTGCCAGAGTTCATTAATGTTTTAATAATATTTAGTGTTTGCATAATGCCTCCGCCAGCTCCTTTGTTATCTCCATCCTCTGACGAGGCTGGTTGGAGACTGGTCCAGTCCCCATGGAACAGATGCGAAACGGGGAGTATGCAGAAGTTAGAGAAGCCAGGCGGGAGACAAGCAGTCACTCGGAGTGCCTACACTCTGAATGAATGGCCAGTACCATGGCATGGTTGTTAGAGTAGCTGTAAATGACTGCTTGCCTTCTCCATGCCAGAAACTTCACACAACCTTAGGAGTAATGTTGAAAATTTACTGGGGTTAAGAATCACCCAGGGTCCCATGGCTAATAAATGGTAGAGATGGTGCTGAAACATATATCAGCCAGACTGTGACATGTTCCTCTCTGACTTGAGACTATCCATAATAGATGCATCCAGACCAGAGGAAGGTCTTTGTTTAAAAATGATTATTGCTTCTTCTTTCTGATTTTGTTTCCGATTTCAGCTGTAAGTTTTAGGATGATCCATGCAGCATCGAAGGTGATTTCTAAAACCATCTGAGTCGAAGTGTTTTATTCAACAGTAGAATTACTTGTTTGAATTTCTGGTTAAGAAAATGATGGCAATTACAATAAAATGTTAAAATCTGTGCCAATTCTATTTTGCCTCTTGCTGGCTGAGCAGTTTTAGTTCTTTCCCCTACTAAGCATGGATAATAATACATCATTTCAGAATTATGTGTGAATGTGAAGTTACTTTGTAAATAGAAAAGGGATGTATACGTGATTTAAATGTTTATTTCAAGGAATGGGCATTATTAGGAAATCTAGTGAGCTTACTCTAGAATTACTATGGAGTAAGAGTAGAGGCAGCCTAGGAGAATATAAGCCCCGGCCATAGAGGGCATGACTAATTCTAACATGCATTGCCACCTGCTAAGCTCAAACTGTGTGCCCACCATTGTGGTAGTAGCTACTTTGCATAAATCCATTAGTTCATATAATTACTTCCAACAGATTTGTAAGGATGAAAATTATCCTGCCTGTTTTGTAGGTGAAATTGGTGAATGAAGAAGTAATATCTCCTTTTTTAATTTGAGACGCTGCGGTTCAAAGAGGTCTAATTCTTATGCCAAGATCATACAGAATTTGAATTTGAACCTGAATTCTCCTGTTCCTTCCACTGTAGTAGTAGTCAGTTTCCATGGCTTTTGGTTCAGACAAGTAAAAAAGCCCCATTCCTTGGGGGAATAAGGTACTCAGTAGCCTACTTAGCCTATAGGAGCAGGGAAGGTGTCTCTTTGTCTACCTAGCTCTTTCCCTCTCTTACTTTCATGCATTTAAGAAGTATTTACTGAATGTTATACTGCCTACAAGCAGAGTCCTAAGGACAAAATACTGAGCCAAAA